AACAGCCAAAAGATTAAAATAAAATAAAAAAGCCCATCAACTAATGAATGGATAAACAAAATATAGTATATCCATATAGAATATTATTCAGCCACAAAAAGGAATGACGCATGCTATATATATATATATTTCCTGAAAACATCATGCTAAATTAAATAAACCAATCACAAAATACCACATAATATATGATTCTATTTATACTGAGTACCCACAATAGGCAAATTTATAGAGAAAGTAGACTAATGGTTACTTAGAGGAATGGAAGATAGGGAACTGATAGCTAAAGTGTACATTCTTTTTTTGAGGTGATGATAATGTTCTAAAATTGACTGTGGCAATGGTTGCACATATCTATGAATATACGGAAAACCACTGAATTGTGCACTTTAAGGGTATATTGTATGGTACATGTGTAATAGCTCAATAAAGTTATTAAAAATGTTTTTAAATAAGCCAATTAAGCATTCAATACATTAAGTTAAAAAAAATCAAAACAGCCTTAGGCGGTTTGGCTCAGTGGACAGAGCTGGTCTGGGGACTGAAGGGTCCCAGGTTCAATTCTGGTCAAGGGCACATGCCCGGGTTGCAGACTCATCCCCAGTGGGGGGCATGCAGAAGGCAGCCAATCAATGATTCTCTCTCATCATTAATGTTTCCATCTCTCTCTCCCTCTTCCTTCCTCTCTGAAATCAATAAAAATATATTTTATAAAAATAAATCTAGGGAAACAGTAACCGATAAAAACTGAAATAATTAATTATGATGAAAAGAAATAGAATTAAATTTAAATCCAAGAGCTGTTTCCTTGGATAAAAAAATAAGTAAACCTCTAGCTATCAGATCAGGGAAAAATAAAGCATAATTACACAAAACAGGAATGAGGAATGGAAATAACCACAGATGCAATTAAAAAAATTAAAAAAGAAATACTACATAGTACTCTATTACAATTAACTAGAAAATCTTACTGAAATTATTTTCTAGAAAAATCAGAAATTACCAAAATTAACCTGAGAAAAGCAAGTCTATATAGACTTATCACCCTGAAAGAAATCCAGACTCAAAGTAGTTTCATGATTATTTTTTCAAACATGCAAGAAATATTCATGTATTACTTAAACTATCCCAGGGCATAGAAAAATAAAAATCTTCCCAATTCCTTGTATGAAAATGGCATAATAATGAGGTCAAATTTGACAAAGGCAGGTCAAGGAAAAAAAATTTTTTAAACTTAAAACCATTACCATGCATAAAATATCTGCAAATAAAATGCAGTAGTTCCTTAAGAGAAAAGCACACTATAACTAATAGTTTTTATCCTAGGAACACATGAAAAGATTAAGAACAAAGTATAGGAGAGAAACCAAGATGGCGGCATAGGTAAACACCGATATTGCTGCCTCCTACAGCTTCAAAAATACAACAAAAAGACAAAACGGGCATCATCCAGAACTACAGGAAGGCTGGCTGAGTGGAAATTCTACAACTAGAAGGAAAGAGAAAAGCACACTGAGAGTCAGGAGCTGTGGAAGTAAAGTGCAAAGGTACGGAGGCTCGAGCGCGCACGGCGCGGGAAGGGGCTGGCACCTGAGGACGGGGCTGTCTTTTTGAATTGGGAGGGAGTCACAAGCTCCCGACTGCTCTGAACTCCAGTTCCGGGAAGTCTCTGGGGACCCAGGACTCATACGGGGAGAAACTGGACTGTCTGGCAGCGGGCAGAACTCAGAACTCCAGGGTGGCTTTCTCTCAGAGGTGCTTGCGGCAATTAAATTACCGGGACACTGAGACGCGCGGCCCCTTAGGGCAGGGCTGAAGATCCACCATAGCTGCTTGCTCCGCCCTTTGATTCCCTGAGACCCCGCCCCACCCAGGCTGCGCAGAGGCTTTTGCATATGAATGCCCTGGCCCTTTGCAACCGGAAAATTACCTAACAAATTACAGCTGGGCCAGACAGACCCAGAACTTCCAAGAGAAGGCCCAAGGCCCCACAGCAGCTTGCATTGCTTCACAGCTGGGCCTCATCTGGGCACCTCCAAACCCCAAACAAGGAAGGGGAATCTGTAGTTCTTTTTGTAGCTCCTGCTGGGTAACCTCAGGCAGAGACTAAATTAGCACCTCCTTAGATCCAAGAGCCAGTGTACCCAGTGGTCAGTGTGGGACCATCCAGATTACAACTCCTCAGATCCATAAGGGACACACTCAGGGCGCAGACTCAGTGAGCACCAAAGCCCCACTGAAGCAAGTCTTGCCCCAGAAAGGTGTCTTCAGCAGAGAAGTTCTCCCACTGCAGACACAGCTGATTCTCACTGCCAATTGGCCTGGAGGTCAATTCCTCCCAGTGATACCTACAACAATCAAGGCATAACTACAACAAGACTGTGCACAAAGCCCACAAGGGGGTGCACCAAGAGTGTCCACCTCAGGTAACTGGGGAGGCTGAGCCACTGGGCCCTATAGGACACCTAGCACACAAAGCCACTCTACCAACACAGGGAAGCATAAAAAATGTGGAGACAAAGAAACAGGTCACAAATGACAGAAATGGAGGAAAGCAAACGACTGGATACAGAGTTCAAAACCACGTTTATAAGGTTTTTCAAGAATTTTATGGAAACCGCCAATAAATTTAATGAGACCCTGGAGGATATGAAAAAAGACCAACTAGAAATTAAATGACTGAAATAAAGAATAATATACAGAGATCCAACAGCAGACAAGAGGATCCCAAGAATCAAGTCAAAGATTTGAAATACGGAGAAACAAAAAATACCCAACCAAAGAAGCAAAAAGAAAAAAGAATCCAAAAATATGAAGATAGTGTAAGGAGCCTCTGGGACAACTTCAAGCATACCAACATCCGAATTATAGGGTGCCAGAAGAAGAGAGAGAGCAAGATATTGAAAACCTATTTGAAGAAATAATGACAGAAAACTTCCCCCACCTGGTGAAAGAAATAGACTTACAAGTCCAGGAAGCACAGAGAACCCCAAACAAAAGGAATCCAAAGAGGACCACACCAAGACACATCATCATTAAAATGCCAAGAGCAAAAGACAAAGAGAGAATCTTAAAAACAGCAAGAGAAAAAAAGTCAGTTACCTACAAGGGAATACCCATACGCCTGTCAGCTGATTTCTCAACAGAAACCATGCAGGCCAGAAGAGAGTGGCAAGAAATATTCAAAGTGATGAATAGCAAGAACCTACAACCAAGATTACTTTATCCAGCAAAGCTATCATTCAGAATTGAACGTCAGATAAAGAGCTTCACAGATAAGAAAAAGCTAAAGGAGTTCATCACCACCAAACCAGCATTATATGAAATGCTGAAAGGTATTCTTTAAGAAGAGGAAGAAGAAAAAGGAACTCTTACCATTTGCCACAGCATGGATGGAACTGGAGATCATTATGCTAAGTGAAATAAGCCAGTCAGAGAAGGATAAATACCACATGATCTCACTCATTTGTGGAATATAATAAACAACATAAACTGATGAACAAGGACTGATCCAGAGACGGAGAGGCATTGATTAGACTATCGGGCCTTGGAGGGAAGGTAGGGGAGGGTGGGGGTAAGGGGGAAAGATCAACCAAAGGACTTACATGCAAGGATATAGGCCTAACCAATGGACACGGACAACGGGGGGTAAGGGCATGAGCAGGGGGGTGGGGGGGGGGGGGTAGGGGGTAACGTGGGGATAAGGACACATATGTAATATCTTAATCAATAAAAAATATATTAAAAAAAGAACAAAGTATATATTAATAGGTCAGAAAAGATGAAGAACTGTGCAGTGTAAATGAATCTGGAGATAGGGAACAGGTTCCCCAAGGTTCCCTAGCATCCAGGACAGTGCATAGCCAGTGGGGAGTGCTCAGTAATATATATGCTCAATGAATTGAAGACCCGCTGGAATACTTACTGGGCAACACAACTATGGCTCTTTAATGATCGACAGTCCATAGCATCACTAACCAACACAACTTTCTGTGATGATCAAACTATTTTACATCTGCACTGTACAATAGGGTAGCCACTAGTCAAGTGTGGTTACTGAGCCCTTGAAAAGCGGATAGTAAGTATTTTTAATTTTTTTTTTTTTTTTGGCTTTTAACTAATTAAGATGTAAAGAGCCGCACGTGGCTAGTGACTACTGAATTGAACACAGACAGCACAGGTCTAATCTCTTCCACGGTTGTGCTTTGTTTCCCTCTGCAGTTTACATCTCGTCCAAGGGCAGCTCTAAACAATAACCCTTAGGCTTCTGTTTTGTTCCCATAATGGACGTTGCACAGAACAGAAACTTAATAAACGATGTCAGAACTGTATAGCCAACTTGTTTTCTCCCTTAAAAAGCCATCAGTTCAACGCAAGTATTTCCAAAATCTTCAAGATCGTCAGGATCATAAAAACAGCCATAAAAACAGCTCTTTCTCCATTGCATATTATCTTGTGCTTCAGTTTTCTAGACTGTTTGGAGCTGCGGGGGCAAAAGCCTCACGCGTTTGTTTCTAAGTCGCTCCTGCTTGCTGGGGACCCCTTTATCGCTACAAACCGGGGTGCAGAGAAGCACCATCTGCGAGGAGCCTCCGGAGACGAACTATTCACGCCGTGCACACCTAATCCACCCGGCTCCCTCGGGGATGCCCTTCACGCGGGCAAACTAATCCCCTAACAGCCTTCCCAGCGAGATCGCCCCTGGGCAACCACCCCACTTCCCCTCCTTCGGGGCACGACACGCCCCACCTCCTCCCCAAAGCTCTCCTTAACCACAAGCACTGGGAACACCGCCTCCTGCGAACACCTGGGCTCATTCAAAAAGCCCGGGAACTGCCGAGAGAAACGGGAGGGGGCTCTGCCAGGAAGCACGGGAGACGGCAGCCGTCGGCCAGGACCCGGGCAGGAGCCGCGGCAGCCCCGACCGAGCGCCTGCCGAGCGCTCGGGGACGACCTGTCCCGCTGCCCCACCGCGCGCGGCGCCGCCGCCCCGCCAGACCCACCTTCTCCGGGCCGCGCCACTCGCCCTCGGAGTAGCGGTGCTTCGGCGGCGACGGCAGAGGCAGCGCCCCGCTGGGGTGCGCCTGCAGCCAGGCCTTGGCCTCGTCGTCCTCCTCGTAGTCGTCCGAACTCTCCTCCGGCTGGCTCTCGTAGGTGAAGTCCGTGTCCAGTTCCCGCGGCTCCTCGTCCTCCACGTCCTCCACCATCACCACCTCGTCCTCATCCAAGCTCTTCACCTCCTCGTCCTCATCCAAGCTCTTCACCTCCTCGTCCTCGTCCAAGCTTTTCACCTCCTCCTCCTCCTTTTTTGCCTCCTCCTCCTCCTCCGTCTCCTCCTCCTCCTCCTCGAGCTCGCCGGGCCAAGGTAGGTCCTCAGGCTCCATCTTGGCGTCTCGCTGTCGGAGGCTGAGGAGGAGGGGGAGAGGGGAGAGGGGAGGGAGGGGAGGGGAAGAGAGCCGACTGGCGGTTGCGGCCTCACGCAGGCGCAAAGACCGCCGCCGCCTCCCGCCCCCCGCGGCGCCGCGCGGACGGGGCGGGGCTGGGAGTGAGGGCGCGTGTTGCTAAGGACGCGCCGCGGGGGCCGGCGGGAAGGCCCGGGGAGGGGGCGGAGGGAGCGGCAGGTGACGCCACGCCCTGGCCGCGTCACCGCCCGGGGTCTGGATCACAGTACTGTAAGCTCACAATCAACCCCGACCGGCCCCTCTCGCGGGAGGGGGGAGTGCGGTCCTCGGCGGGGCCCGGCCAGAACTGAATGTTGACCCTGCACCGGGGGAGAGATCAGACCCGAGGGCAACACATGAGAGTCAAACTTGCGCATTAGTAGTTTTCACAGGCTGCGTGCCTGAGGGGTGACAGGCTGTACGATGGGCACTTGACACTAACAAGGGCGGTAGAGGCGTTAAGTAAGGAGTGGGAGCTAGAATCAGAAAGAATGGAGTGTGAGTCCTGACATCACCACTTAAAAGTGGTGTGGCTGAGCCTCTGTCAAATGAGGCTAATGGGCCATTGAATAGGATGGTCGAGATAATCAAAGGAAGTAAGGACTTAGTGCAGTGGTTCTCAGCCTTGGCTGCACATTAGAATCACCTGGGGACCTTTTTTAAAATCCTGATTTCTGGGCCTCGTCCTCCGGAAATTCTGTTTCTTTGTTATGGGGTAGGGCCACAACATTAGTTACAAAGAAACAGAATTTCTAGAGGATGAGGCCCAGAAATCAGGATTTTAAAAAGATTCCCAGGTGATTCTAATGTGCAGCCAAGGTTGAGAACCACGGGTTTAGTGGTAGGTACTATTCGTTGACTATTATACCAGTACAGTAACTCAAGTAACTCATTAAATGCTTGCAGTTCTATGAGACAAGTGTCATTTTATATTTGAAGAATCTAAAGCCCAAAGCCTCTTACCTAGTAAATGGCTGGCTGAGTCAATACCATCTCTGTAAGTCCAGTAATTGCCCAGACCTATAAGCTAATAAAGTACAAAGGAGCAACTATTTATTCTGATAGTACATATGTCTTAGTATAGTCAACGACTTTGAAATGCTTTAGAAATAACGATCTTCTGAGCACTTCAGGAACCCCTATAAAATGGCAAATTAAAGAATCTTTTGGTGCTTTGCCATTACTAAGAAGATGGCCATAGTCAAAGTGGACTCCAGCCAATATTCTTCATGGTATTACCCACAATAGCAGAGATAAATTGGCAATGGTACTGAATCAACATTGGTGGCGTAATTTTTAGGGGTATTGCCAAGGATGTATATCCTATCCACCAAAGACTAGATCCTGGCAAAATTATAAAGGTAGATTGTGGACTGGAGCCCAAAGTGTCGGGGCTCTTTTGAACACCTTTCAATGGAATATGAGTACAGTTGATCCTTGAACAACAAGGGTTTGAACTGTGCAGGTCCACTTATAGGCTGATTTTTTTCAATAAATACTATAAATGTATTTTCTCTTATAATTTTAACAGTTTCTTTTATGTAGCTTACTTTAGTGTAAGTATACAGCATATAATACATATAGCATACAAAATATGTGTTAATCCTGCTTATATTATTGGTCAGGCTCTGGTCAATAGTTGACTATTAGCAGTAAAGTTTTGGGGAATGCCGGAGTCCATTCATTGTCTTCACTAGCTGAGTTTAGACAGAGACCCCCCCAAAAGCTAGTAGCCCTTGAAAGTCCTAGTAAAGGTCAGGGCTTGAGCCGAAACCGGTTTGGCTCAGTGGATAGAGCGTCGGCCTGCGGACTGAAGGGTCCCGGGTTCGATTCCGGTCAAGGGCATGTACGTGGGTTGCGGGCACATCCCCAGTGGGAGATGTGCAGGAGGCAGCTGATCGATGTTTCTCTCTCATCGATGTTTCTAACTCTCTATCTCTCTCCCTTCCTCTCTGTAAAAAATCAATAAAATATATTTTAAAAAAAAAAAAAAAGGTCAGGGCTTGAAAGTCCTAGCAAAGGTCAGGGCTGTGCACCACCCAGTTAATCTAGGAACCACTCAGTTAATTTAAGTAATAATAGTTGAAGCATCCCCACCTTAGTTCCCTTAATTCCTTAAATACTTATGTAGATCCTTGTTGATTATTGCTAATCAGATACACCTGGAAATCTATTGATGAGCTATCAGTTACTCTGCCTACACTCGGAAATCTATTGATGAGCTAATCAGATACTTTGTCTATTCCTGGAAATTGTCTGCTGATCTGTGTGTCATTGAAACTTCCTTACCCTAAGGGCTACTCCAGATCAATAAAAGCTTGGTGAGGCCTGAGCACGGAGGAAGTCCTTCAGGACTTGCCGCCTGGTCCCCCAATATTGCAAAATTATCTCGTGTCTTTTTCTCTCATTTGCTGTGCGGCTCCTCTTTCAGATACCGAACCCTACTCCACGCAGCACGTGGAGGGAGTCTTACTCAACAGGGGAAGTTAAAAGTTATGCAGGGAACCCCGCCAGTGTTGCTCAGTGTTTGAACATCAACCTATGACCCAGGAGGTCATGGTTCAATTCTGGTTAGGGCCCATGCCAGGGTTGCGGCGCTCTCTCTCTCTCTCTCTCTCTCTCTCTCTCTCTCTCTCAAATCAATACAAAACATTAAATATATATTTTTTAAATTATACAGGGATTTTCAACTGTGTGGGGTGGGTAGGGAGGTCTTCTGCTCTTTGCCTTATGGTTAAACTTCAAAAACCCAATTAAGATCTCCTTCCTCTATAATAGACAGCTTTTTGCTCTCCTCACCATACGTCTAATTTGACACAGGCCTGAGAGACGGTTTAGACTGGACCTGCCCACTAATGGGGCAGAGAAGATTGACCCAAAAGAAGGGAAGGCATTGAATCTAGAAAACAAAACCAAAAGAGAACTGATAAAATGAGAGAGGATAATGGATGATTCAGGTGCAGGGATTACCCTCAGACAGGAGAAACATGGGGATTTCTCATGGAGCAGAGGAAAGATAGGTACCAACAAAGATCCTTTATTCAGGTGAGTGGGTTGAATGGATTGAATTAACAAGTTGATTCAATTCAGGTTTCCTGGTTTTCATTTATGTTAATCAAAGTGTGGTCCACAGACTACCTTTATCAGAATAACCTGAGGTATATGTTTTATGAAGAATCCCAGCTCCCATTGCCCATCGAATAAGATTTAAGAAGTCTGGTTTGGCACCCAGGATCTGATTTTTAAGACCATACCACCCCCAAGTAATGCTGATGCACAATAATGACTGCGAACCACTCCTTTCTTTTCCCTGTCAAATATCAAGGACAATACAGTTCTTCCCCACCTACTGCAGAAAATCATCCTTCTCCCTGCCACCCAGCAGCCAGGGCATGGACTTGTGACCTAGGTTCACACATTTGGATGCTCCTATCTGTGACTTTTACTCTTTTTGTTGTTGTTGTTCATCCTCACCTGAGGATATTTTTCTATTAATTTTTAAGAGAGAGTGGAAGGGAGGAGGAGAGACAGAGAGAGAGAAACATCAATGTGAGAGAGACACATCGATTGGTTAGGGCCAGGGATTGAGCCTGCAACCGAGGTACATGCCCTTGACTGGAATCAAATCCAGGACCCTTCAGTCCATGGGTTGACACTCTAACCACTGAGAAAAACTGGCCAGGGCTATGACTTTACTCTTAAGGTTTAAAGCAGGAACAGCCGAAACCGGTTTGGCTCAGTGGATAGAGCGTCGGCCTGCGGACTGAAAGGTCCCAGGTTCGATTCCGGTCAAGGGCATGTACCTGGGTTGCAGGCATATCCCCAGTGGGGGATGTGCAGGAGGCAGCTGATCGATGTTTCTCTCTCATCGATGTTTCTGGCTCTCTATCTCTCTCCCTTCCTCTCTGTAAAAAAATCAATAAAATATATTTTAAACAAAAAAAAAAATAAATAATAAAGCAGGAACAGTTCAGAACTTTGTTACTCGAAGCATATACTGGGTAGCATCACCCCAGAGCTTATTAGAAATGCAGAATCTTAGGCCCCACTCAGACCTAACTAATCTGCATTTTTTTAAATATATTTTATTTATTTTTTACAGAGAGGAAGGGAGAAAGATAGAGAGATAGAAACATCGATGAGAGAGAAACATCGATCAGCTGCCTCCTGCACACCCCCCACTGGGGATGTGCCCGCAACCCAGGTACATGCCCTCGACCAGAATCGAACCCGGGACCCTTCAGTCCACAGGCCGACGCTCTATCCACTGAGCCAAACCGGTTTTGGCTAATCTGCATTTTTAATTGATTTTTAGAGAGAGGACGGAGAAAGAAACATCAATGTGAGAGAGAAACATCAATTGATTGCCCAAGCAGGGATCAAACTCAAAACCTGGGTATGTTCACTGACTGGGAATCGACCCACCACCTTTTGGTGTACAGGATGGTGCTCCAACCAACGGAGCCATACCAGTCAGGGCCTGCAGTTTAACAAAATCCCAGGTGTTTCATAGGCACATTAAAGTACTGGCTTAGAACACGAGAACACATTCATAGTGGTGGAGTTGAGAGTTCAGCAGTAGCAATGGCCAATGGAACAAGCAGATATAGTCTCACCGACTGATTCTTTTTGTTGTCAAGTTTTTTAGAGAGAGCGAGAAGAAATAGAGAGAAATATTGATTTGTTGTTCCACTTACTTATGCACTCATTGGTGGATTCTAGTATGTGCCCTGACCAGGGATCAAACCCCCAACTTTGGCATATTGTGATAATGTTCTAACCAACTGAGTTACCTGGCCAGGTCACCAACTGGTTTTTATGGCATGACCTTAGTCATGGGTCCTGCTCCCCAGCCTTTCTTGGTTCTTGCCTTTCTTGGTCAGCTAGTCACACTTAATGCTGTGTAATAAGCAATCACAAAATCTCAGTGACCTATAATAAAAAGCACTACTTCTTGCCTTTGTACCAGCTGGTTGCCTGGGGATAGCT